GTCGGCGCCGCTCCTGGTGCGCGCGCGGCCGAAGCGCGGGTCCAGCCACTCGGTCGGCCGGGCCGCGCCCCGGGGCACAAAGTGCGTCACAATGTATAGCCATTTCCGGTCCCAGGCGAGTAGCCTGCTCCATAGCTCGTACGCCCGGTAGGCGCGGATCTCCCTCTTGAAGGAGCACGACACGGAGCCTAGCATGATGCCCATGGGCCCGCGCGCCGGCCGGCCCGTCTTGGGGTCCAGCACCAGGCCCGTCCGCGCGTTGTCCGTGAGGCTGCGCATCGCCGGCCGCGTGAGGTAGCTGACGAGGTGCGTCCGCGCCACGTCCAGGTCCGTGAAGTAGGTCGAGTTGGACTTGTGCAGGTTGTAGTCGATTTCGAGGAGCGGCGCCCGCGTCTCCGAGATGATGGGCTTGAAGAGCGCCCGCGGCGTGAGGTCCGGCGACTTGCGGAGCATGTTGTGGTAGACGATGGCGTAGAAGACGCGGTACTGGGCGCTCGACGTTAGAAATATGGTTCCAGCTTGACGGGGTAGATGGGGAGACGAGGGGGAGGTCATACCGTCCATGCAAATGGCAGGTTCTTCCAGTTGAGCACGACAAACAGCAGCAGGAGGATGCGCGAGCTGCGCCCCGGCCCGGTCAGGAAGTTTTGGATGGCGGCGGACCAGTTGATCTTGTAGGCGACGTAGCCGGCGGACCCCAGCGCCACGGGGACGATGACGCGGATGGCGACGGCGAGGCCACCGACCTTGCTGGAAGCCGATGCCATGGGTTCGCGACGTCGTGATCTTTTGCGACGCGAGGTTGCGGTGATGTAAGGATAGCGAGAGCTGAGAAGGGAATGGATGAATGTTGAAGATTCAAAAAATTCATCCGAGTAGAATTCGCAAAGGAGTGGGAAGGAAAAAGCCCGGTCCACTAATCCAGGCACGCGGTTGTGCAAAAGTTGTGCAGTTGTCGACTTTGTTGGGTAAGCGTGGCGTCACCCGTGCCGAGGTTGGCGTCACGGATCCGCGTCAGTCAAGCGGGGCCCACGTCTGAGTGTCCAAACACGGCAATCAGATCCCCCTGGATTGCAGCTGAGCCGGATCTCGGTGGATACCCTTCCGGCCGCGCCGCCCGAATTGTTGGGACGGACTTTTCGACGTCGACTCGGAGCCCCGATTGGCTGTGACGGTTGACGACGTGATGCGGCCAGAGCTGACATCTCGGGGTAGTTTATGGCGGCGTCGTTGTCGTCACCTTGGTCATCAGCACTCAATAAAATTTTAATGCGTGTCTGCATTTCGTAACACTACGACATGCCGACGCCCTTGATGTCTCATCAGCAACCCTAACCCTAGACGACGATGATGGTGCGGAACCAGACAGTGGCACAGCGAGCCTCCCTGCTGCAAAGCCGGACTTGACTTTTTTTGGGTGACATGGGCTGCAAGGGATCGGTGACTTGTGTTCGGGTCGGGCCGGTGCTTTCAACACATTCTTTACATATTCATCACGCAGGGATAATGGACAGAGAATTTGGGCTGCATTGAATTAGGTAGTTGATAGACCTAACTAAACGTGAAGGAAATCGCCGCAAACCGCCTAGCACAAAACAGAAGCCCTCGGCGTAGATTCTTCCCCCGAATAGGCAGCAAACTGGCTAACCTAGCTGGCTAGTAATCTAGCATCGTTTTCCTACAAGAGGAAACACGAGGAAGATGTACTGCCAAGCAGCACAAAATGCCATGTAGGGTGAAGGGACCCCACGAACTCATGTCTGTCAAAGTCTCTTGACCATGGAAAAAGCCTTGGCAAAGATAATACAGAAAGATGTGAATCTGTTAAGGAGAATATTATCAGTACATGAGAGAGTCGCGAGTGGTCACAGTAGACTTACGCTGCAATGATTGACACGGCAAATGTGGCCGCCTGCATTCGACACGAGGTCCCAACGCCTGTCAATCCATCTTCACCTTTGATATCGCCGAATGGTGTATCAGCGTAGCTGTCGCAGTCTCCAGCACCGGCCTTGTATACCACCGCGATAAAGATGCAGCATCCCATGATAAAAATTTCCACGGCGCGAAGGACGACACCCGCGCATAGGAGGGGCAGGTTCGACAGGTACTCGTCCGAACCCAATACCACGCAGGATTTGAACAATCCCAAAATATCCACCACAGCACCCACGGCCGCGAAAACTTCGGTGATGACAATGTTCTTGTTGACAGGGATATTGTGAGCTTTCATCATGCCCAGGAAAACAGAGTTCATGATGAGCATGGCAATAAATGTGGGAAAACGGAATAGGTGCAGGACAATCATCAAGATCTCCACAATCGTCTTCATTGCGCCCACTGTGATGGTGGAAAGTGTCGTAACGAGACGCAGCTGTTGCCAAGAGCGAAATGCGGAAAGCGAGCCTCTCAGGGATGATGGGATGTTTGGGGGAAAAGAAAATATCGAGTCGGTCCCAGATGAAAACGAAGCGCGGGAGCAAATAGAGGAAAGCAAAAGATGGGTAAGGAGAAAGAAGAAGTGTGAGGAGGGAGCGGCGAGAGCAGACATTTTATCTTCGACATGCAGACGCAGACTCTCTACCAACTGCCGAACATGACAGCGAGGAAACATCACCTCTCACCAGCCCTGGCGTCGATCTGGCTCACTTCAATCTTTGTTCATCGAGTGTGTACTGAAGATGATGTTCTGGGTGAGGCTTAGAATGCCGACCCGTTCCTTTGTTCGCCAACAACCGGGGCCCGGCCGATGAACTCACACCCACCTCGCGTTTTAACAAAGGCTCGCTGTGCCACCCGCCAATGAATGTCCAAGGTCGAAGTCAATGCGCTGCAGCTGGATTGATCACAGCATCGAGGCGAATCTGACCTGTCAAGACGGTCGCGCCATGGCCTCTCGGCCTGTGAAACCAGACAAGCCAGAGTACATCAGACACGTCCTGAACTAGGAGCCAGCTTGGCCTTGATGCCTGACGCTGAGGCTTCGCCCGGCACGCCGATGGCACTGAATATCTATTCATGGCAAGGGGTGAGACAAATGGAGAGGCTGAGTTGGACGACAGCCCATCTCAATGACTGAACACGTCCTGGAACTTGCCGTTCACTCCGCCTTTCCTTGATTCTATGATTCCTTGTTGGTCGCAGGCAAAGTCGATATTTGGGCGGGACACGGTCCGATTACAGATTTTGAGCCGAGCAGAGTCGAAGGCTGTGCATCTGCCGGTAATACTGCACCGAGTGGGCAGAGTTCATGTACCGGCCGCCTTTACCAGTGAGCCTCTTTGTGGGCTCGTTTCCGGGCATAAACACCTGCTCCGTGGGCCGTCCGGGAAGAGGGCGAATGTATATGACCTCGTGCGGCCTGAAAAGCAGCAAGTAGCTGCCATATCACCGCGGCGGACGGACTTTGAAAGGAGAAAAGAGAAAATGGCGAAAACCGCAGCCGACGATGTAATGATCCGCAGCTTATGCGAGACTATCGTGTGGCCTGGTATGACCGCCTCGATTTGAGTATTGAAACTGGATTACATTGAGCAGCGTCTGTTTTCGCTACGATAGAATATTGTAAACTGTAATATAAAGGGGTTTATGGAACAAGTGCAGGGTAGCTGGGCTCAGAACAGGTGATTCATATATCAATTTAATATCGGTATTACGGTATTAAAGGTCCTGGGTTTTGAAGAGGCCTTGAGGGGTCAGAGGTCTCTATAAATACAAAGAGTCGGTGAGCCCAGAGGCCTGAGGCAGCCCTCGCCAGGGTCCGACTCCGGGCCCCCGTGATACCTTTCTTTGTTGTTGTGTAACCTTTGTTGTCTAATGCCTTTGTCCAGGTCTTGACCATGTGACAGCGTAATTGCGAAGTAATTGGAGCATGTTTTTTTTTTACACAAACATGGTTTACGTATCCAGAAAGAAACAAATCGGCAGATGGCGACGACTGCATGCACCAAAGTGTCGACCTGGACTCTTATCAAGGTGAATTAATGCCATCGCGTGAATAGTACAACAAGACACGAGGGGCAGGATGACAACCCGCAGAGCCGCCATAAGACGCAGACAGAGTTACAAGCCTCGACTTGTCATCGTCAACCCACCGGCCGACATATGGCACGCATTTCCTTGCAAGAAATTCACAAAGCGCAGCTTGGCACCAAAGCGGCTTGCGTGGTGCGAAAAAGTCATATACCACGTTGTAAGGGTGCAAGAGTCAAAACCGTGACAAGTGGGCCGAATTGGTCAAAGGAACGTAAGTCAGTCAATTCGTATACGTTCCAGGATTCCCATGGCAAATCGGCACCCAAAACTACAACACCAAACCCAGTAACAATCACTTTCTCAGCAAATGCATTTGACTCGAGCAGCACCACCTCTCCCTTCGGAGCGCAACTAAGCGAAATTCCGTTAGTGCCCGGACTATTTCCAATTTCCACGTCCCCATTTTCCCCATCCCGCCCGTCAATGCGCTGCCAAAATCATTCGCAAAGCCGTCGAATGATACGTGACATCAATGCTCTCCCTTCAACATGCGCTCGCGCAATTGGCCAATTCAACGTGCCACGCAACCGGAAAAAATTAAAATAAAAAATAGAGCAATGTTCATCTGAATCGCCACAAGACGGCGAGTGACATTCCCCCATGACCATGGTTCATGCAACAGATAGTGTGTCGCCGCCACTGCCCTCAGATCTCTACAGATGAGATGAACATCCCGGCCGCCCACCCTCATCACACCATCATCTACAACCACACAGCCGGGTCATCCCACGTGGGCTGCTATACGCAAAATACAGCAACCAAAATACCCATGCGTACTGTCGGATGACTCGGTGGCCAGCCATGCCAAGCGCAAAGTTCGAGTCAGTACCACACGACAGCCTTATCGAAGCTGGTCCTCGTCAGGGATCCCACGCTTGGCGAGCCAAACACCAACCATATAACCAAGTTGAACCGTCATGATCCTTTATAAAATAAAGGCAACCAGCCGGCCAGAGCTTGTCGTAGCTCGTCGTAGCTCCAAGCACCATCGTATCTTGCAGAATGCGTCTCCCAGAGCTCCCCCTGGCAAGCGCCGCCCTCGCCCTCCTGTCCATGAGACTCACACCCTCGGCCGCCTCACCCGTGCAGCTCGACAGCACGACCCTCGGCCTCATCAACACGTACGCGCGCTACGCCACGGCCGCGTACTGCCCCGACCTGCAGGACTCGTCCCTCAACAGCCCGGTGTGCAGCAACCCGAGCGCCCACGCCTGCGGCGGCATGGCCGACGCCACCACCGTCGAGGAGTTTGGCAACGCGCACTCCATATCGGGCTACATCGCCGTCAGCAAGAGTCGGCCCGTCATCGTCGTGTCCTTCCGCGGCACCGACATCTGGAATGTCCGCGACGTCATGAGCGACGTGCTGGCCTGCCTGAAGGATCCCAAGCTGCGGTGGACGTTCCTCGGCGTCTTGACCGACGCCATCTGCGCCTTGCTACCCTCGTACGTCTTGTAACCCTCCGCGTCCTCTGGGAATCATACCCCGTCACTAGCATGCTAATCCAACGGGTAGACAGGCCGCCGACGAGGCGGACAAGCTCCTGCCGCTGTGTGACGAGTGCCGCGTGCACCAGGGCTTCTGGGCCGCCTTCACCGGCGTCAAGGACCGCATGATGGACGTCGTGCAGGAGCAGCTGACGCAGAACCCGGGGTACAGCGTCGTCGCGACGGGCCACTCCCTCGGGGGCGGCGTGGCGACCCTCGCCGGCGCGTACCTGCGCAAGGCCGGCGTCCGGACCGACATTTACACGTACGGCTCGCCGCGGGTCGGGAACGCCGCGTTTGCAGAGTACGCGTCCGGCGGGCGAAACGGCAGGACCGTCCGCGTTACTAATAGGCACGACCCGGTGACGGTGGTGCCGGGCGACCGCACCGCCGGGTACGCGCACACCTCGCCCGAGTTCTGGTTCCCCGAGGGGCTGGGCCGCCCGGCCAGGATCTGCGAGGGCGTGCACAATCTATCCTGCAGCGGCGGGGTCTTTGATCTTCTCGCTCTCGGCGACCACGACGGCTACGGGTACGCAAACGGGGTGGATGTGTGCCCTGGCAAGGCGGGCAAAACCTTGGGGCCGACGCTGCGCGACATCATTAGTCAGGAAGACGTGGACGAGTGGATGCGCTTCAGGATCTTGGACAATACGACTGCGCCTGGCGTTGGGGCTTAAGAGGAGGCAGAGGTTGGAGACGTGCGGGCGTTGCACTGACACTGATAATGACACCGGCGAGTCGAGACGTTGGTGGCCCGCAGTACGAGTAAATAGGTTCTGGTATTTCAGACGTCGGCCCATCCATGTATCATGTCGTCTTTTTGAAAATAGATTGTAGCCTCACAGGCGCTTCTCAACCTCCTCTAGTGCAGCCAAAACGCCCTCCCAGTTCTTCCACTCATTCTCGCCGCCCTGAATGGTCCCGTGCAGCGGCAGCCTAGAGCCATCCACATCCCCGAACCCTCGCAGCCGACTCGTTGCCTCCTTGATGCCCACGATGCCGTGCTTGACGATAATTTCCTCCATGCAGCTTACTTTGTACTGCAGCTCCCTCCTCTCCCTGGCTTCTGCTTCCGTAGGCCGCGTCTTGCCCGCCAACTCAAGCAGCCTCACAAGCGACTTTGGGAAGAATCCCGCCGAGGCATCAATGGCGCCCACGCACCCGACGCTCACCACGGGCAGGAGCTGCTGTCCCAGGCCGGTGAAGACGTGAAAGCGGGCCGCGTCAATGGCCGGGTTCAGCGCAATCTGTGTCAGTAGAGAAACGTCCCCGTGCGAGAGCTTGCAACCAACCACGTTGCGATGGGCGGCAAGCGTGGCAAATGTAGCCGGGGTGACTTTGACCATGTTTGACACTCCGGGGAAGTGGTACCTGTGGCCAACAAGTTCAGCCGAGCACGTGTGTAGTTGGGCGTGGCAAGCAAACAAGGTGCGCACACTCACACGAGAATGGGGATAGGGCTCCGATCTGCCACTGCAGTAAACCACCCGACGATGCCCTCCTGCGGCGTGACGGCGGCATTGTATCCCGGCGCCAGCACCATTCCCCACTGGGCGCCGGCCTCCTTTGCATCGGTGAGCTGCTCGACGGTCTCTTCGATGCTTGCCGTGGCCGTTCCCGCTATGATGGGGTAGTCCCTGAACCCTTCGTGGACAAGGGCATCTCGCACCCCCTGCAGCACGGCTCGGCGGTCTCGCGGGTGAATGTGTACGGATTCACCCGTGCTGCCGAA